AGGTTTTCAATGACGGTATAGCAGTAAATGTATCCAAGTACCTAGAGAAGTAGAAAAATTTGTTCCGTTTTCTTCTGCATTCAAATACATCACAAAGTTAAAGATCATTGGAATGGAGAAAATTTGTTCTTATTTCAAATCTATTGCACAGTTTAAAAGGCTTTCTAGGTAACTACAATGCTGAGATGAATGAGGAGTCGTTGATACAGTACCTAAGTTTCTACCTGATTGTTACCTAAGTGGAAATTAAATAAGTACAATCCGTTCGTTCTGCATCAGAGACTCTGCTGTTGCATTATTCAACGTATGCAAAATATCTGGATTAATAATAGATGACGACGAAGGTGAATTTCTCGCAATCGACTAAGAAATTGAGTTGTGACCCTTTCAGAGTGCGAACCGGGCTCACGAGCTTCTGTCTACTTCAGGGGAAATTGAATGATAATTCTCATCAATTAAAAGGAATTGTTTGACTTTATCAATGTAAAATTATCTTGTTATACCAAGCTGAAATTATCGTTGAATGTTATTTTGGCTCATCTAAAGAAATGAGATAAAAATATTTAAACTATACGGCATAAGACATTATAGACCGCTTGAAATGAAAATAGAACTGCTTCGACATAGATAGATGGGGCGAACATATCGTTGTCATTTGTTGCATTTTGGAAATACCAACAAGTTCAAACGCAACGACCCATTATCTGTTTAAATCTGTCTAGAAACAAACATTCACTGGTATTTATCGTTGTGTGACAATAATATAAATGTGTAGAACCTCGTGTAATGCTATTAATCTTTGAATTACTGGTACCGTTATAGAAATTAACATTTCCAATCATCAAGTGCGCATTGAATCCGTGAAGCGTATTCATAAAGAGTCAAAGGGAACTGTATAACAAAACGGTTCAGTAAAAGTAAAGACGCAGTGCGCACGAGCACGATTGAGGCAAACAATCGTCGTTGATAATAACCGTAACGAGTCCGGCGTCGATCCCGTTTGCATCTGTATTGTGTTGGGGGCAACGAGCACGCAACGACCTCAGCCATCAACGGTTTACAGCTAAAACTTTAAACAATGATAGATTTTACTACTTCAGGCAAACTCACTAAAACTCCAATACATCGGTTGCCAATACTGGACCAATCATCAATAAAGGACTGCATGTAGATATAGGTCTTTTCAGCACTTATTGCGAAGTGTTAAAGGTTAATCGATCAATTAGGAGACGATGCAAAACCTGAGTGATTCATTTAATCAATTAGGTTCATATTGATTGAGGGCAAAGGATGCATAATGCAGGGCAGTTGATGAAGAACTGCCAAGTACTAGTAGTACCTGTTTGTTTACGCCTAATAAATATTAAGAGAAGACACAGATACCTTCACAAAATAGTGAGGATTGATTGTGTACTTATCGCAATACAAATGTGAGTGTTGACGCAGCAATTAAGTAAGATTGACTTGAGAAAAATACATCGATGCGCACGCGCTTACTCATCTCCCTCACGGAATACTTTCTAATCCTTATTAATTCTACCTCTCTTGTAACATTTGAACTGCCATTTATGCAAATGATAACCACATATGCTTTAAATAACGGAATCTGTAAATATTTATGTTACTTGAAGTTAAGTATTTGTATATCGGTTAACATTAGTCTGTGCAATGTACCATCACTGTAATGATACAAGGCGCCTCGACTAAGATAATGAACAATCTTTTGTTCAGAATCTAAATACCTACTTTCGTCGTCTATTTAAACAGAAGCTGGCTATAATGAGTTACTTTAGTTCAACATATAAACTAACTATCCTTGTCCCGTTTATTCTTCGTTTAAAAAGGAAGATTCCACAAACTGACGTTTCCATTGTTCGATACGGCACGACAAGTTGATATAACTACGAAATGTGTCGTGTCGTGTCGACTAATGGAGAACTGCTTTGATATCAAGATGAGCAGTAAAATTGTATGACAAAAGCGACCGACTGGAAAGTATCATCTACGGGCATTAAAATGTCATTACATTATGATTTAAGTTCCCACTAAATATTTTGCGTATAAAAATAATTGCTGTACGACCATTCTCAAGCTATTTAGGTACATTTGTATTGTTTTCTCATATCTATCTAAACATCTAAATCAAGGTGGACATTTTGGCCATTAATTTATGTTTGATAAACTAGATCTTAACCGCGGTTCCGCCTTGGGAACTCTACCTTTTAAGAGTTGTGTTGTAAATGAAATATTTGAACTAAGAATAAGTATTTTTGAAATGAGATAAACGTTTCAAACAAATCTAACTATTAAGATTTTTACAGAATGCGACAATAAAACAGTAAAATTTTGTTGCCAACCAACTCACATTATGAAATTGATCAATGACTTATGACATAAAACATTTGGATCTTAGGTATGTAGGTACTTACTTGGAAACTAACTGCTTAACTTTACCGTACATTTTCATTCAAAACTTTGTACCGTTAGAATTTACTGATAATAAATGCTAAAGGATTGAATAGTTGACCGATTTTCTTTGCAACGGATGTAATGAAAATAATTCGTAATAAATCATTTTGACCTTAGTGGGACTGTCAACAAAGCTTATTTTAGATAAATTTGTAAGATGAACGATGAAGGGTTTTAACATAAATTTTAATATTATCTACGTACATGAAGATATTAGCATTGAAATAAGCAACTGTTTAAATGGTTTAAAGTTAACTATTGACAAAATTTAAAATATTTTAATCCTGACTTCTCATGAATATGACCCTCGTCATTACAGTGGCCAGCACATCAACATCCTCCATCATTAGATTTTCGACTTTATAACTAAATGATAGAGTTGAAAATCTGATAAAGAAATTTGACAGAATGAGTAGGTCGACCTGCATCCCATTGTACTTTAAGACTAAAAAATTATGAGAGTGACATAGACCATTACCTAAACATAAGTCAATGTCAGATTCTTTTTGTTTTTTTAACTTCATTGCTCTATAGAAAACCGTCCGTAAAGCTTCTAATAAAACGAATTCGATTTCTTACTATTACTCACACTTTTAATTTAATATTAATATTTCATCGGAAATATTATAATTTCTTAAGTGCATACACGGTGCTTCAAGTATTCTCTTTAGACTTATTGTATGCGTAATAATCTTACAGCGATTTATCTTATAGGATTGTACTAGAATTCGAATCTTTCAACATAATATGAAAAAAAATAACTAACAACCATCTACCAAGATTCCCACTGGATTAGAAATAAGTAGTAATGTCGTAGGAATCTCATGAAATAGATAAAGTAGGTGTGAGAACAAGTCATAAACTGCCAATGTACTTAGTTGTACAGCTCTCTAGACCTGTCAATCTTATCTAGAGTCGTGATTGATTTTTGTGAAAATTTCGGACAGCTCGATTATTGAAGACTTAGATATTCGTAGCGCTGAGATTAAGGAGTCTAGGGCGCTTCGTTCCCTATCAGAATGCGATAACAGTTGGTGTGTCCGACCGTGTGTCGTGATACAAATATCAAAAATTATCTTATCATACAACTCCGGTAAGGTGCAAACATCTTAAACAAACAACGTCATTTCAGTTTAAATTATTAAATACTTTGAAATCCCTCTAAGGACATTAACCGGTGTGAGTATGATTCTTCAGAATAAATTGGCTCGGAACCGGAAAGAAAAACTAGGTTCACTATAACGGTAAACGAAAATTGGCAAAATACTATAATCACGTGGAAGCCATCACGAGACAGTAAGAAAAAATCTAAAAGTAATTTTGTAAGACGTTGCTGTGGTAACACGTGACTGTAAGCTATTCGGTTAGACAATGTAAGCGGGTATTGCACAGTAGTGACCTCATCTCTGACAGTTCCCGGTATAAAGCACACGATCGATGATAGATCCGATAATATCTCGAGTGTTTTGCTTGTAATCGCTGATGCAGCGCCCTAGATATCTCCAGAGAAGAACAAAGTTGGCATAGATATTGAGGATCAAAGTGCGGCGTGGGCGCACGACCCAATACCGCGGGCGGCAAATCACTCGCGCACGCGCACCGGACCTTTTGCGTGTTGCATCGCGCAATTAATTTGTTTGTACGCGCTATAGAATTGATGGACTTCGTTACACTCCCAGAATATAGGACACACAAATTAACATAACTAAACATTTACTATTATGGTAGGTATGCACCTACTTTAATTCCATTGCAATTTGTTATTTATAAATAATATAGAACTCAAATTCAAATTTTGAATAATGCTGCACTAACTGCGTTAAAGGATTGGAATAAAACAATAATTACTAGTTCTGTATGTATTTAAAATATTTCACAAGTCATTATTAGATACAAAATGTTCCTTAAAGCCAATTGTTTCCCTGTCCTACTAAGTATGAATAGACTAGAGTCGACTTGACGGAAACGCGCCGGTACCGAGCTTTACGTACTTGAGATTGAGGTTATGTTGTGATAACTGTTTGGAGCAAAAGCCGGCTATGAAACTGTAACTGGAATTTGTTACTTAATTTTACTAGTGATAAGAACTAAAATAGCTCGCAACCCCAAGGGGTGGAGAGGTCGGAAAGGCGATTGAGCCTGCGCGCGCAGCCGGCATGGCCGCCGCCGCACACCTGATTGCCAATACAACCCGATAACATGACTGAATTACAGCATATTTTACACGCTCACGATTCTCTAAATACCCCTGGACGCATCTCACACCGATATTATCACGTGCACCACTCCTGCACACCGACAACGACAACTTGTGAACACGTTAAGTAATCAGCTGATTATCAAACTTTTACCGGTGTTTATGTATCCGATTCAGTACTTCGTCACTGGAAGCGATCCGCGTATTATCATTTCACGGTCATAGGAGGCGGTCTTCCGCGACCTAAGCAGCGGTCAGCCGTCGCTGGCCCGTGCATCGGATGCACATCCGCTAGAGCCTCGGGCGGAGCGCGGCCAGGGACCGACGAGCGTACCTGGACTAGTCTGCCAGCTGAGGCCTCCGACGAACATCTTCCTGCAATATAAACAATACCAATCAGACACTGAAAAGAGCGCGATCAACGGACTTCTTGGGACTACGAACGTACCCCGGGTCGTTGGGCACCTCAGCGGGGCTTCTGGCCACATCCTGATTCTGGGTATCCATGGGCTTGGACGCCGACGGCGCGGGGCGGGCCGGGCGGCGCACTACGACTACGAGCGAGCGACGACGCGGCGGGGACGGCTCCCGGAGTCGCTCGGCTGCACTACCGACTACCGGCACGAGACTGGCGCGCCGCGGCGCACCCCTCCACGCAGCGGCCGCCCCGCGCCGCCCGCGCCCCGCAACGCCCGCGCCGCCGCCGCATCGATTCATTCACTCCGTACACAATTATTCATACGGTGAGCACGACGGACGCGAGCAGCGCGCCGGCACCACCACGTGAGCGCGCAGCACGTGCTCGCGCCCCTCCCCCCGCGCGCGCTGCGCTCCCGCCCCGCCCGCGCCCAGAGCACGCCCACCGCGCGCCTACACGCACCACCACCCCCATACACCCAACTCCCAAACTTTATCAAACTAATATTAATAATAATAATTAACTTTCAACAAGTAAACTTTTCTAAACACCCAACTTCCGTTTCCCTTTAATTGTCGTAGCAGTCAGTTATTGACTACAATTTTTTTAAATTAATTAATGCATGTATGTTATGCAAGTACTTTTTAATTCCCCTATACCTCTACAATGCCTCCGATTATGAATTTGATGCATCCTGAAAAAATATGCATCATAATATTAAGGTCGACATCATCAAGCGCACTAAGCGGCGATCCTATCGTAGCAGCGCGAAGCCTCTACACAAATAGCTGACGTCACTAAGTGGCTTGTCGGGCGCTCGTAGCACAGCGCTACGAAGTGAATGCTACGACCGCGCGATATCGCTGTACTTCCGATACACGTCATAATGCGAATCTATAGTAATATTGCATCACCATTAAAATAAAATGTTTTATTAGACGACATAATACTAACACATATGCCATCATTACTTTAACTTGTTATTAAAAAAATCTGTCTCTAAACTTCGTGTTGATAAAGTACTGCATGACGACGCGAGACCTCTAATACATAACTGGAAATTACTATTAGAAGCAAATACAACTGAGCCTACCCCATCAGAAAAAAACAGCAATAACTATGTAGACCACCACACCATAAATAAATACACTTAAGTACCGCACTAGGATAATAAGGCCCTACTTTTTATACAATCACAATGATTGTACCACTAAAGGTATAAGTAGACGACCTCAGATTCAACTATACATTGTCGAGACAGACACCCTTTTAGATGGAATTGAAAATGTCACTATCGGACATTCTAAACAGATTTGAGATACGTCCTATTTCTATTTGGAGACAGAAAAATGGGCTCTGAAAAGCCCTTTTGTACGTCGGTACTTTTCATATTACTATCAAACACTATTTTAGAAGCGATATTTGCTACTTTCGACCACAGAAGATGTAGAGATTTGCGACTATTTTCAAACTGTTGAAACAATGTCTGGCAACATAAATTAACCAGAGTCAGTGGTTGCGGCTGTGCTGAAAATATCATTCGCTTTAGATCAATACCGAGACCAAAATGCCGTACTGACCCGATCTAACAATAGAGCAACCCAATTCTACCGTATTTTGTTATTCAGACTGAAGATAGGTACCTAGCCCATCATAGCATTCACTCCAATATTGATCATGACTAGACCTTTTTGGAATCACCACGACGATCTACTTATATAAAGCTATCGAAAAACCTATAAACGACTTCCTGTCTTACATAGCAATGTCTTACTTATCAGATTGCATTAAATCCTTTTATAAACTGGCAACTTAAGAGGAGGACCATATTCCATGAAGAGACAGTTACTTCAAATTGCTACCACCTAAATTCGTAAGCCTAATAAACTTCTCATGTTCTGTCATTCTCAGAATATCACTGACACTACTGTGCTACTAAAATGACAAGACTTCATTTCTGCTAAAATCCAAAATAGACTCGCTGCAGTGCATTTTAAATGAGTCTGAGCTGGAAATATAATTCATTTCGAATCAATATTGCAACTAAAAATGTCGAGCTGCCGCGACTGAGAATAGATCAACCCAGATCTCGCTGCAGATGAATTTGTGAGATATATGGACTATTTTTGCAGCTGGATATAAATTAACAGAAACGGTGACGATGTGTCCAGAAAAGTCTTCACTTATATACTTGTTATTGGATTGGCTTATCAAAAATAGTTTAAAAAAAGCTTTTGTAACAGTTACCTAACAATCAATAGTTATGGATAAATGATGAAAATAAACGTGCTAAACCCTGTAATTGTAAACCAATCCACCTAAGAAAAACACAAGACGAATATGGTTGCCAAAACGACAAAAATGGTCAAGTAGGGAAGTCAATAGAAACTATCGTAATTCTATGTATGATAAAGAATTAATTTGTTTTGAACCACAAGATGAACACGTACCTAAATAATTACGATTAATCCAGTCAGGATATTTAAAGAAAGGCAAATGTCTGAACGGAATACCTGGAGGATATGAAATAGGAACTGTAGTGTCAGTTAAATGAAGTTGCGGCAAAATATTTAAAAAGACACAGGCGCTGAGTGGTGCTCGCAGAGTACCAGAAATATCTCTAGCTTCAGATCAATACAAAGGCTCTCTACAACCAGGAATAGACTAACCCAGACTAACCGCCCTTAATGGATGAAGCTAATTGATCCAAAATCGGAAACTAGAACAATTCTATTGCTGATGAAATTTTAACTAAAGCCTTTTTAGATTTTCACTAAAGCGGTCTTTGAGAAATGCGAAATAGAAAAGGAAAAAATTATTGTGCCAACCACAAATAGCTTGGGATAAGGTCAGAAAGAAGAAAATGCGGTGGATAAGAAATGGTTATTTTGAGCAATACTAGATCATATGCTTAAAAACAAAGAACAGATGTCCTAATCGACTGTCATTAAAATGAACCCGACATGAAAAAATTAACACAACTCTACATTGAAAGACGGATAAAATTCTTTAAATGTCTCCCGATTTTTCTCCTAGTGAAATAAAAACGTTTGAAAAGTCCACTAAAAAATTCTTAAAGTTTTGCACATGATGACGTCCTCATTATGAATCCGACCACTATAAACTCAACAATATGGAATAACTCGTTCTCTTCGTAAAACTTGGAAATGCTTTAAAACTGTCGCGTAAATTATTTTACGAGAAAAATTTTAAACTGTTCCGTTTTACACAGGTATTAAACATTTTGGATGTTTTTTTTAACTGTAGGGAATGAATGGGCATACTTTTGACCAACATTGTTTTGAACGTAATCGTTGGTGAACGAATTAGAATTGGAAATAGGGATGATGAGATGACGGAGTATAAAAACTATAATTTATTTAGTACGTTATTTAGGTAATGAAAACATATTTTATTTATATTTTTTATTTTATCGTATTATAAAATAATATAATAAAAGTCATTTCTACGTATCTACATAGAAGCGACGTCACGCGGTATTTCAAATCAATTTATCGTCGAAAGTATTTGTTTCATTTGTTATAACTTTCGTGTGACATACTAAATTAATTATTATGTTTTCGGCTCACTCACGTAACTGTTTGACGAGGAACTCGACTAGTTTCAAGCCGTGCTAGAGGCTCATATCCATGAATAATTAAGTTAATGTACGAAAAAAAAATAGGTACGTGTCGAATGTTTTTAAATAATCATTTTTTTTATAACGCGATGTAAATCCTCATAGACTTCGCACGCCGTGTGGACGACGGGGGGTGTGCCGGACTCTTCTACCGCGCGGTGTTCCTCCTCTGCCTGTGGCCGTGACCCGGGACGCCCTTGCGGATTCACCGCACCCGGGAAGCCTCGACCTACTACTAAATTGTGACAGGTCCCACCACGTAGCAGCCCTCAAAAGCTGCGATTTCCTTTCCCGAGTGGTGCGCGTGAACACACCGCTAACGCCTACTCCCGCCCATACAGCGGACGACTGACTCCCCTAATCATGTTTTTAAATAATCTACCCGATGTACACTAAAATAGATATTAGTCATGTATCATGTAAATCAGAAAATCCCCAATTTTCCCCTTTCCACACAAGATTGCTGTGTATTGAGAAATCACTTATTTGGAACGTGCCAATAAACTTACCCAATGACATCTTTACTATTACTATAATATAGCAAACAAAACAATAATAATAATAAATTTAAATTATAAACTACACAATGTTGACACAATAATTGTACACAATTACAAATTGGTTAGTATTGAGAGAAAGTTAAACAAAATCATACAACAGTAGTGAATTGTTAAACATATCGTTTATTTTAAGTACTTATAATTAGTGTATTATTAATTAGGTAATTAATATTTGGCTGGGCAGAGCTACATTCAATGCTCGTTTTGGTTTCATCAATTTTTTTTGCGGTAGTCTAGTGTCGATATTGTTTCTTAACAGATTTTCCTTGTTTAAAAAATATTTACTTTAATGGAAACGTTCTCAAAACGAAATAGTAATTTTTAATTATTCAATTCAATTCTTTTATTTTTTTTTGTATAACTCTAGTTACAACATATGAATCCACTAAAAAACAGAAGTAACTTCTGTCGCAGTCGAGGTGACGTCGCGTAACCTACTAGCGACGTCGCCGCGACCGCGCTCATGAGGAAGAGTCCCTTTGTGACTCGAAACTAGTAGAGCTTTTTTCAGTATATTTACGCGTGTAACTTGTGGTTTTTACTTAATTAAATATGTCCCACGAGATTATTATAAAAACACCGTTACAACATCTGTCTCCAGTTGAAATATAGATAAGCACCAAGGAATTAAATTTCATCAGTACGATTAGATTATTATAACCTAACACAAAATTGCATAAAATCATAGTATGGGTCGGGAGAAACAATAAAGAAATGAAACCCTATAGCGCTCATCTACATCAAAATAAAAGAAATAAATAAATAAATAAAATTAATTTTCAAAAATAAAAACAATATCGACATTAGATTTAGAGCTTGCACAGACGAGGGATTTTTATCCGCTGAGAACAAAAATCAAACCCAGATTACTTATTTAAAAAAACGAACGAACCCCTCATCTGCGCTAGCGCATCTTTAAATTTCCTTCGCTTAATTACAATACATAAGCGTAGCAAAGTTTTAAATTCTATGGAGATAATATAGATAGGTAAGTAAGTATATTTTCTTAACATTACTTGCCACAGTTCGGATATTCGATGAATAAATAAATTAAGTA